CAAAACGTTTTTTTTGTGCAAATATTTTGTCTTTAAAGATAAGTGAAATAATCAAAATAAAAAGCATTCACACACAGCTCAACTAGAAAAAAAAAAGGACTACAGTTGATTTTTTTTTTTTCCTTTTTAAAGGTCTAGACACAGCTCAATAAAGAAATGTTTTTGCAAGCTTGGTAGGCTTGTGCATTCAGACCAGACATAACAAGTAAATATTTATACATGGAGAGATGGGGAAGGGCTTTTTTCTTTGCTCATCTTCCTCAACTCTCTCTCTCTCTCCTTTTTCTTTTTATGAGAAGTGCAGAGTGTTTCATTTACTTTCTTGCCTTTTTCTTTTTTTTTTCCTTTTTTATTTATTTTTTTTAAAAGGGGTGCCCTTATTCTCTTTCTCTTTGTTCCACGCAGTTGTGCTCTCAAGGCCATTGATTTGTGAATGATGGAGTCTGCTGCCCTCCAAGATGGAAGACATCCCGTTGTTCTGCTGGTGCTGGTAAAACGTCGACCCTGGGTAGTGCCCTATCACCTCGCTGTACGTCGGCGGCGGTCCCTCCATCCTACCATTGCTCCCATAGCAGGTCGCGCTGATGCCAGAGTTACTGCTGGGGGGGCACGGCCCCCCGTACACGGAGTTATCTATCAAGTCACTGTCAAAGATGGTTCTGTTGGGGGGGGCCCGGACCGACTCTCTGTTGAGCTCCATTTGCCGCTCAGGGTCCCGCGCGTGCAGGGCCCTTGGTACGGGGGGGGCTCTTCCCCATCCGACAGCGAGATGGTGGGAGGCAGGTCGATCTCGTGCTGCATGTAGGGGTAGGTTGGCTGGAATCGGTTAAAGCGGTCCCTCTGCAGGAAGGATGGCACTGCCAGGCGGTCGCTGGGTCTCGGGGTGTAGATTTGCTGCTGAAAGGGAGAGAAAGAGAGAGAAAGAGGGTGAGATAAGCGTGAGACACTGCAGCCCGGGACAGCGGGAGAGGGAGCAGCACCCACAACCACATTGCCCTCACCTCTGTTATTCCATTCCCTGACACGGTGCTTTCCGAAGGCCACAGGCTTCCCTCCTGCCTTGGAAAGAAC